AAGATAAAGCAAGACCTATATAACAAGAAACGTAACTTTTGTATCTGACAAGGTCAGTCAAATTCCCTCAGGATTTACCCTGAGACTCTGTAGTGTAGTTTATAGATCTGTTGTCAGTGTCAGCCATGTAGATGAGTCACAGCTACTGCCTTGACCAATTTGTTCTCTGTGAAAGCCTGAGAGAATGTTTTCTCTCTAGGTGACTCTCGTTAGCGCCTTTTTTAGTTCCAGTACATCCAAATGACTTATTCTTAGGACTCTATTTGTACTTTTTGTATCTTCTTCTCTGGGAGGCATGTCTTCTCTGAAGGTCCTTTTTCCCCTTCTTGCAGCTCCTTCTTGATTTGACAGCCTATAGCTATGGCCATGGAGACCTTTGCTGCATTTTCTTTTGTGAAATCATTACCTTACTCTTGCCAGGAGTTTAGGAGTCTTGGAACTGTCCATGCTCCATGTAACTGTTTCAAAAAGATTCTCTGGAAACCTTCCCCTTTTCTAGCTGAAGCGAGATTACACTGGCTTCCAGAATTTGCACTCATCTCTTATTCTTAAGGGTTGAAAATGAGCTTAAGGTCCAACTTCTTATAATTGCTTCTGGCAGGGGAGGGGGGGAGTAACCCTGCCCAACCCAGGATCAAAAGTCTTCAACTGATCTTCAACTTACAACATGTAGTAAGATGAGTTTTGTTCTTTTATGAGCCATCATTCTTTGATAGTCAACAAGGGAAGGTAGGGACATTATCAAGTCATTAATGCTTGAACTACTTTATATCTATGTTAAAGAAACAGAGTCCAAAATTTTAAAGTAGAATGCTGGCAAATAACAGGTCCAAAAAGTTATACAAGTCAGACAAAATTAGGTGGCATACACCTTTTATCTTTAATATTAATTTTTTTTTTATTTATGTGTGTGTGTGTGGCCAGCTCAGCCCACCAGAGTGCAGGGCTGGCTGGCATGTGGTGCTGGGGGATTGAACCGTGGTCCCTGTGCTTTAGCTAAGCTTGTTCTAAGTAGGTGCTTTAGACCACTGAGCCATCTCACCAGCCCCTATCTTTAATATTAACCTGTATTTGATTTGAGGTATTATCACAAATACAATAGGTAATTTAAGTGCATACAGGCACCTTCTTCTTTGGTCAAAAAGAAATCCAATGTCCTCCCATTTTAATTATAACAATGGCCAAGGAATACACCAAATGAAGATACCTATTTTGTGGCCATTAAAATTTTTACTCTAGGGTTCAGAACCCAGATCTGGCCTCTATTTTGTATTCCTGAAGACCCTCTATGCACAAAGATATCCTGTATATAAGCAAATAAAGTCATTTAGCATGCCTATGTCTGTTTATCTGGGCAACTACTTTGAAGATAACAATATGCAATATAATAACCATTGTTAATTTCCTATCACCTTGTTTTGAAATTCTGTAACATTTTGTTGGGTATTTTTCTCTATAAAAAAGACGGGGGGGGGGGAACCAAAAGAAAGTTAGTTTATACCACAAAAGTAACAAAGCTTAGCCCAAACCCAACTTTGTCACAAATGAGAGTGGATGATATTCAGGATAGACTAGGGAAGTATCTTTAAAAAGGCAAGCTATCCCCACAGACTGTCACTTGAAACAGGCCCTAGCATCTCCTCTACAACACCAGTCTCACATCTGATACCTTAGGATTCTGGCTGCCACAGGGCCTCGCCATGAATACACACTCCTAGGTTTCTAAGCAATGACTGTGCCTGTTCTCATTTCTTCCTTGACTCACTCCATTTATTCAAGTCTGGAATTAGGAGAGGGATTGGGTAAGTAGTCCCAGAGTCACCAATGCTGCAATGCTGCCTTGCACCTGCAGCCTATGACAGCACACCAACAACCACGGGGCCAGGACTGAGGTAGGACAGAAGAAATGAAGTCAGATAAAAAACAGAAAGGGAAAATAGTAACTTTTTAAATTTTACTTTAAGAAAATTATCTCTTCAGAACACAAACTTAAAAAAAAAAAAAAAAACCACAAACTTACCCAAGGTTACAATGCCTTTTTCTCTTCCAGGAAACTCATTACAAAAAATATTTGTAGATGTTGTTTTATGGGATTTCATTTTGTTTAGTTTTGCTTTGTTTTTTGTTTTGTTTTTTGTTTTGGGGGGGTTTTTTAGTGGAACTGGGAATAGAACTCAGACCCTTGCATTTGCCAGGGAAGCGCTTATTCTACTGAGCCATCTCCCCGGTCCCTTGTTTTGTTTTCTGACACAAGGTCTCACTCTGTAGTTCAGGCTAGGCTGGCAATGAACTCAAGCAACCCTGCCTCAGCCTCCCAAGTGCTGGGATTAAAGGCATATACCACCACACTCAGCAGTTTTATAGTTTTTAAGAATCTTTTACTTAGTAAAATTTTAGAATTTCTATAAACATTTTATTTTCAAGAGTTCTGAAAAAAAAATCCTGTTGATTTTCATTCACTTGTTCATTACAAAGGAGGGGCTCCTGTAGCTACCTCCCTATAGTATTTATTGATATCACTCATATTTAATTTTCATAATGCACATACTTACTATTAAATGATATATTTAACTTAGATGAAAATTGTTGACAATGTTATCTGATTGTAGGATATTAAAGAAAAATGGAAGACAAAGTTGACAACTTAGAACCTTAGACACTGGAGATACTAGAATAGATTAACTGTAACAGAAAAAAGGAGTACCCTGAGAAATAGCTGTTGACGCAGAAAATAAGATAATTTTCCCAGGCAAGGAAAGGAGTAAAGACTTTATTCCAACCAACACTATCAAGAGGGAGAGTAGGGGAATTTCTGAGAGGAATGGCAAAGCTAGGGTGAGGCATGGGGGGAGGTTCATAAAGGTTTGAGGATATGGAAAAATGTTTCAACAAACATGATTATTTATATAATGTAGTTATCCTTACCATCTAGCACCTTGTAGATCCTCCAGAAACTCCCACACTGTGTCTAAAATATGTTTCAAGTTGCAATTTGACAAAACTATCTCCTTTGGCCTAACTGAAGTTCTGTGTCTTCAGATAAAGAGATTGATACACATTAACTTTTAGAGAGGATGGCTTGGAGTTCACTAGGAGAAATAAAAGCGCCTTACATCAAAACTCTGTTTCCATCTTGTATAGTTTTTATCAGTACTGCTATATTGTTTTATGACTACTTTATACTAGCTAGGCAGGGTTGTTTTAATGGAGTTTTGTCGCTAAGGTTTATAATGCTTTTAGTGCCAATGAGTACCCTTATAAGGAAGAGGAGGTTTGGAAGGTAAACTTGGACTTTTGCGTTTTGATCCACCTTCAAAGGGATTTCCAGTAGGTGAAGATCTCATTTGCATCTCAGGTTCATCACTACACTGGATATTTATCTTCATTCTGTTATCCCAGGTTTTGAATATTCTTCTCTGTTTTCTCAAACTATATATCAACAAGCCTAACACTTGGCTGCGCTTTGCCCAGATACCCAAATCCTTTCTGATAAAGCTCAAGTTTTTTAATCATCATTAGACACAATAACACACCTGCGGCTCACTCTTGGTGTGCATTCTCTGACACATTACACACATTAACAAATGTATACCCTTACACCATCACAGAGGATGGGTTTGCTGCCCTCAAAAATCCTGTGCTCCATCAAATTACTTCTTTCTCTCTTTTAAGTGCTGCCACTTTTTGTTACTGCCTTTTCCAAATTGTTGTATAATTAGAATCATATCATACATAGTCTTTGTATATGGCTTTCTGTCATGAATTACTCATTTTAGCACTAATATGGATATAACACAGTTTATCTATTCACCTCTTAAGGAAGGATATTTTGGTTTCTTCTAAGTTGTGGCAATTATTAAAGCAGCTGTAAATAACTGGGTGTGGTTGTTCCTAAGTTTTCAGCTCTTTTGAGGAAATACCAACAAATGTGCTAGCTGAGTTTCATGGTTAAAGTGGGGGGAGGGGTAGCAAGAGACCACAAAATCATTTTTTTTCAAAGCAGCCACACCATTTTCCACTCATGCCAGTAATGAATGATAGTTCCTATTGCAATACATCCTTACCAGCATGCAGCACTGTGAGAGAGTCCGTTGTTAACCACTGTGGTTTAAGAACATGCTTCAAAGCTTCATATTCTGGAAGTTTGATCCTCAGAGTAGTGATGTTGAGATGCAGTGAAACCTTTAGGTTGAACCTAATGAATGATGACCAGATTGAGGGGCACCTCCCCTAAAAGGAATTAATGTAGTTCACAAAGAACCCCAGTTAATTCTTATCAAAATAAGTTGACCTAGAAGAGCAACTTGATCACAAACTCTCTGGTTTCCTGTCTTACCATGTGATTTCTGCATATGTTCCTGCTACTGTGATTCCATCCACTATGAAACCTTCATCAGAGGCCAAACAAATGCCTTCCTCCCAATTTTGGATTTTCAGTCTCTAAAACTACAAGTCTGATAAACTTCTATTCTTAATAAAATCACTCAGCCTCAGGAATTATATTACTGTAGCAGAAAACACACAAATACATTGGCCATTCTATTAAATATGTTATGGCATATCATGCTGTGTTAATTTGCATTTTTCAAATGACAACTGATGTAAAGTATATTATCATGTGTTTATTTTAACCTACATGTGTTTTTTGGTGAGATGTCTGATAGTCTTTGACCTATCTTTTAACTGAGTCTTTTCTCTTTTTTATGAGCTGTTTCATTTTATTGCTTTTATTAGAATATGTTTGTGACTGTGGAGATAGCCTAGTGGTCTAAGTGCCTGCCTAGGCAAGCTCAAGGACCCAGGCTCAGTTCCTGGTACAACATGCCATGTTAGCCCCACCCCAGACACAAGCTGAGCTGGCCACCAAGATTGGGCATGGTGATGCACACCTGTAA